AGTATGTATGAAAAACAGGTAGCTTAAAAAAATATTCTAACCATGCAGGGTCACTTTGTGGAAAGTATTTAAAATGCCTGTTTGTTCGACTTTACTGCACAGACCACTTAACTGAAATAATATAGGAGCCTTAAGGCAACGTCTACATTACAACATCATCTTGAAGACCCATCTTGTAGAGGTGTGGTGCTTACATGGTGTATTCTTCTTCATAAATGTTTGTACAATATTATTTATGAAGAAGAACAGACCTGCATGAAGTTTAACCTCCTGCATGAAATTCAAACGTGCTTCATGCCAATCAACCACCCAAACCTCTTCAGTCTTTATTTATAGCTCAACATATAGGACACATTACTTCCTGTGTTGGTACATCAAATGTAAATAAGTTGTTTTTGTCATCTTTTGTGGATTGCCTGACTAACATAACGTGGGTTATTTACTAATTATAGTCCATTACCTTTTGGTAACAGTCAATTATATCAGCCTGCCGAAAGAGTGGGGGGAATGGGGGGTCAATAGGGGGCCACAGCACATTTTTGCCCTGGGGCCGTGCACGACAGCTCCTGAAATTCTAATGGATGACTCAGCCTCACTCCTCTGGGGTCACGGATCACTGGTCTGTTACAAATGTAAGAGGGGAGTACTGCAATTCTTCAACATTTTATAGGTTAACCATATCAGCAGCAAGTAAAGAAATTATGCATGAAGAGTTGAAATGTGCAAAACAAAGCAATATCTGCATTTCTAGTTGTAAATTCTCCCTTTTTAAGGTGGTCACCCGTTACATAATTGCCTTTATGACATAAATATAAGTCCGCCAGGAGATGACAAATCCTTTTGTTGCTATTACTTTTTAATGGCTGCATGACTTTCTGAAGCGGGTGAAGTAAAGTTTCATTCAATATTTAACACTTAGGTCAAGAGCTGCTCCAATCTACTGAGGATGACAGTCCCTCTATACTGCCACTCTACTGCTTCTGTGAGTGTGAGTGTGAGTGAGTATGTGTGTGTGTGTGTGTGTGTGTGTGTGTGTGTGTGTGTGTGTGTGTGTGTGTGTGTGTGTGTGTGTGTGTGTGTGTGTGTGTGTTTCGAGGACACGCGTGTGCTTTTGTAATGTGAGTATCCTCCCTACAAAACAACATCACAGTAGACAACCCCCTGTGCATTTGCAACCAGTAAATAATCCATGAAAGCAGCAGATTCTTTTTCACTGTCACTTTACTTACTTCAGTGTCTTTTTGGCATTTAGGTCATACTCTACGTTCTGGTCACTCTCACAGTAGATGTATTTGACACTAATATTAGGCAAGTGATGACGCAAACTAGATGCTTATTAAAGACTAGCCACCATAGGGGAGAAACATTAACAGTATAATCCAGAAAACTGGCTGGATTAACAGATTATACACCCGGAGGAGAAATAAATCCCTGTTTTGCATTATTTGTGCCTCTTCTGGTAGATGTCAGAACTGCAGCTTCGAAAGGCCTATAGCCTGGATTGAGATGTAGTTCAGATTTGAGGGATTTTGTACTGTGGACTCAGGGACTGCATGTTTTCACTCCAACAGAAGCTCATTTAAATAACTGGTGTACTAAATCGTATGGTACAAATCAGATGATGCTTCCTTTTGAAAAGATGGCACCTTGTGGGGTTTTTTTGTAACACAAATAGTATTTTTAGGTGTACAGGAGACTAAATTCGTGTTTTATGCTCATCTATCTATATTTGGATCAGAGTATTTCACTATTTTGGACCTTCCTTTGTGATAGAAGAACAAAAGGAGAAGCCATCAGCTGTCAAAGCTTTGAGCTGGAGCGTCTAAATTTGGAGTCACTTCAAGCAACTCGTCGCCACTCTGAGATTTTCTCTTGGCAGAATATAGTACAGCAGGAGCTCTTAGTGTCTGTGTGGAAACTCACATGTGGACACAGCCTCAGTGTTAGGAGGAGGTGTGCTTACATTGGCCCCTAAAAGCATTGTAATGAAGTCCTCTGGTCTAGGTGTCAGTGTAGTGTGTGATGGCTTGTGGGAGAGAAATAGCTTTGAAAACAGAACATGCTTTATCTGGTATTTTTCTCTAAAAGCCTAATAACTCCATCAAATCTTTCACTTTCTGCCAGAACTATAATGATACAAATAAAACTGTTGTATTAGGATTGAGGCATCCATAGAGGCTTCCTCATACTGTCTGCGAATATATTTTATATGCACACTGGGTGGGAGAGAGGGAGAAAAGAAAAGGATATTACTTTATATCATCATTATAGACAGAAAGTAATGAGCCTCCTAAAGCAGACTGCCAACAACAGAAGGCTAAAATACAATAACACGAGGCAGTCTGCGCACTCAGAGGGGGAATTTCAATAGAGCTTATATGGATTTAGCACGCCGCCTCCCTCATTGACTCTGTGCTTCGTGCATTTGCTTTTAGGAAAGAAAATGCACACTAAATTGTTTTCATTGCTCGGCAAACGCGGGGTAGTGGGGTCACCTTCACACAGACACTTAAAGTCTTTCAACACTTTCTCCTACTATCTTTATCATCTTTATTTATCCATAGACGTGCAAGGCCTGGAAAATAGAAATCAGACTGCAGACAAACATTTTAACTATCAGCTAATGTCTACTGAGACAGTAAACATGTTTGGAAGACATTTTTTAACTGTAAAATGTAATATACAGCTCAGTGGCAGGCAGCAATGAGAAACACACACACACACACACACACACACACACACACACACACACACACACACACACACACACACACACACACACACACACACACAGAAAATTAGTTAATTAGATTGAATGGCTTTAGGGAATTGGCAACTAAATCACGTTGGCTTTTCCTCCATGCTCACAATGAGATGTAATTATGTAGTGAAACTTGTGATGGCAGAGTACACCTGTAGGAGGTTGAGACTGACTCCAAACCACTCACAGACTTCCTCGCCAGAGCCAGAGCCAGAGGGAACAATAAGCTAACATGAGTTGATATTAGCTTATCAAAAACATATTTATCATTGTTGGCGGATAGTACAGAAATGCAGAAGATGTGTTTGAGAAAATTGAGAAATACTGATGGCATTAGTGGCAGTCAGGTTAGAGTCCTCGCCTACATGGACACATTATCGTATAAATATTCATGACTTCCCTCAACACATAGCTTAAAAATTCTATCTCTTCTTGACTAGTCTCTGATGATAACCCTTTCAAGTGTCAAATATGGAGCCTATTGATCTACATATCCAATAAAGGAGCTGGTTAATAAACAGTTTTCAAAAAGCTGCTTTAGACTAGATATATGTTTGGAGATGATTCCTTTTGCTTTGACTCCCTGGTCAGCAGCAGTCTGCCTCGATGTTCTGTTTGATCACAATCATTAACATCATCTTCTCTTCTCTTTCCTCAACTACACCTTGGTTTTGAAGAAGCTTCATATCCATACTCTTTGATCTCCCTGGGAGAGCTTTAGGGATTAATTTAATGACTCTGCAGTTAGCTTTTAAATCACACAATGCCTCCCAAAATAGTGTCCTCTCAGCTAATGCCTAATCATTGTGCTTGAGCAGTGATGGCTTAGCTAAATCTGTGAGACAGCACTCAGCCTTGACACTGCTTTGACCCATTTGCAGTACGCTAGTTGCCATAATCTTGGTGTATATGGTAAATATAAAATAAAGAGATGGCTGGAAAAGGACAGTTGTTCTGATAATCCTTTCACTATCTCGAAACTAATTCCTGTAACGGGTGATCGGCTCATGAATACTGGAGAGGATTCTGGGCCACATTTTTTGCTTTAAATCACTACAGCTTGGAAGAAAATCACTCTCATTCTGGTTCAGGATTAATTAGTCCTTCTAATCTTGGGGCGTTTCCAATGAGATTTCCTATAAAAGACCAATATATCTTTGTCAGGAACAATCTGTGTTAATTATATTAAAACTGGCGATTAGATTTTCCTCCGTTGTCTCCTTTGAGCATCTAGCAGGCATGAGGCCTCCTCATAACATGCAGTTACACACTGTGGCCTTTAGATGGAACTATATACTGTTGAACTCAACGTTTAAGGCTACACTCAGTTTTAAGTTCATTTAAGGATACGTCTCTCTCAACTAAAATAATATGTTGAACCTACGCTTGGCAGTTTATTTTATGTGCGGTTATAGGCTGCTTTATGACAGTCATCTGCTGAAGAAGGAACATTTATCTGTGCTTACCTTAAATCTGAGTGCATGACTACGAGGACACAAACACTAACAAATGCACTTTCCAGTCAAGAAAATCTTCTAATGACCAGAAGTTAAACCTTTTGGGGACATTTCTTTTTAATAGATTCTAAAGTTTGCAAAAACTATCTTTTAATTACAGAATGTATAAGTAGTTCATTTAAATTATTTCTCCAAATAACATATCAGACAAATTATTAATCAGAGCAGAGTACTTTGGTTAGTCTTGGTCTAGAGGGGACCTTTAAGATTAGTTTACTTGTTAATATAAGATATATGCATAAACTTGCAACCTATAAAAACCTTAAGTTGAGCTGCTTTCTGTACTTCTAGAACTCAACTGTAATAAGCGTCTTCTGAATCCGAGTACAGCAACGTCAACTTGTCCAAAAATCAATGTAGTTACATGTTTTAACTTTGTTAGCTGTCTGCTCTATCATAATACTTCTGTGATTTTCACTTATCATAACAATCAAAATACAATTTTAACAGTGATGTTATAGTAGGTAACTTGTTATAGTAGGTAACTTATTAACCAGACAATCATTTTGTGCATAAAAAAAAAAACATACTAGTGAAAATTAACATTAACAAAATTATACAAACCCCCGCAAATGCTGATATTGGAAAGGCTACAGTGAATGTTTGCCATATGTATATATACATTGGCATTTAATTGATCAACACAAACCTAAATCAACACCAGTAAAATGTTTTCCTGTAAGAGAATTCCCAGATTCACCCAAAAAACGACAGGAGCGATGTTTGTATGTTGCATAAGTTGCCTTGGTTTTACCACAGCAGCTCTTTTATTAGCAAAATCATGGAGATTAGTCCACTAATGTGCCCATCCAATGGAAACAGAGGGCTGGGGGTCTAGGGGGATATGTAACTTGAGACCATCACACATCATGATCAATAACAGTGCACCCAGCCACGTGTCCGGCTATCTGTGCACTGAACACAGATCTACATATGGTCCTACTGTCTGCTACAAGGCCGCCATTGGCATCCTCTTTTCAAAGCTTCTCTTTGCATCGTGATTCAATCGGGAATGTTACAGTTTGTACCGGCGCACCGACAACGTGCACTAGTTAATTACAGAGGAGCTTCTTTTTGGTCGCTTAGAAAAATACAACTTTGAAAGAGGATGACAAGTAGAGGAATAAAGTCCCTTTGTTTTTATATTGTGCACACATTCACTCACACACACAATCAATCACTCGCGCAGGCTTTTGGCCTCAATCAGAACGAAGCTCCCACTCGCAGCACACATGCTTACCACACATCCGAAAGGTTTACACACTCTCACAGTATGTCAGAGTCAGAGTGAATTGGTCTACAGAGTGACTTGGTCTTGCTTTGTTTGTCCAAGGAGGCAAAAAATGATGCGACAATGAAATAATGAGAAAAAAAAGAGATAATATTGACGCGGGGTGAAGGGGCTGCTTGATAAGAGTTCAATGGTAACATCTACATAAGCCTAACATCTATCTCAACAAAAAGAAAACACTGCAACTAAGGCATGCATGGCACAAGGACCTACAAACAAAAAGACAAAAAAAGTTTTCATTCATGGACAAAAACATGTCAAGGCCCCCCTTTTTATATAAAAATTTAAAATAATGATAATAAGGTAAAACAAGCACATTTGAAAAACTGTGAAAAATCCCCGGCCATAGACAGTTATACAAATATTTTACACAAAATGTTTTCTACACACCGTCTTTAAAACTTTTAGAGATGAACATAAGTTAATAAGAGGTTAAAAGCGACATTCTCAGCAGGGTCCATGAAGTTCCCTCCAGTCAGAGTGCCCTTGAATAAAGTCACTCGCCAAGCCGGCCGCCACGCTGCCTGAACACAAAGAAGTAAACAAAGAAACCGTGATTAGAGGAGAAAAATGTGACGACAGCACCTGAATAACCTTGAAGCTGCAGGCGTTACCTTTAGAAAAGGCCACAGTCCTTCAGGTTGTTCTTGATGATGACATCAGTGACGGCATCAAACACAAACTGCACGTTCTTGGTGTCGGTGGCACAGGTGAAGTGGGTGTAGATCTCCTTGGTGTCCTTTCTCTTGTTCAGGTCCTCAAACTGACACTGGATGTAAGCGGCTGCCTCCTCGTAGGTGTTGGAGCCTGAAGGCAAGGGGCGGACAAAGACAAAAAGGAGATAAAAAGAGAGAAACAAGGACAATTATCAAATTAAATGAAAAAAATTCCATATAAACCACAAGTTTGAATGAATGACCATTGTAGTATTTTCTCAAGCTTTTAATTTAGAGCTCTGGCTTCAATATTGTAGTTTTTACCATTTTCCACTAGATTGAGCCATTTTGTCATGTTTGACATTTGGGGGAAGAACATGCCGTTTTCTTGGTTTCCACTAGGGGCATTGCTGCTGTATCAAGTGTTTGATCAATGTTGTTTTTCAAGTTAGGAGAAACCATTCTGTTTCTTGAAATGATTTTTAAATAAGTAAAATTGGCATTATCATTGAAAAAAAACAGGTATTTGAAAGTCTGGAAATGACCATTTGCTGTAATGATGGTTTGGAGTTGGTTTAAAGTAAAATGCATATATCATTTTAATACACTTCTGACCTCATGTATTTGTCCTCTCTGGACAGAAAAAATACTTTTTCAAAGTAGGGCACAAGGTTTAACTCTGGTTGATTGGCAGTTCGACCTGTGAGCTGCAGTCACCTCACTGATACTCATCTACATTTCATCTAACAGATCTGTTACTAGGAAGTCACTCAAGCTAAAGTTTGGAAGCTTATTCTGCATTTAAAAATGGAACCCTTAAACTGAATCACATGGTGGGTCTGATGGTTGAGCTATCAACATCTTAGCTTAAAAAACAAACATTGTTCTTGACAGTTTTTACTGGGGTTAAACAAGGTAGATTCTGAATGCAGAGAATGTAGACCTTGTTTTAGCCTTTAATCAAACAATTTGTTAGCTTTGGGTTTTGATAAATCTGTGTAATCTAAATATCAATACTCATTGGTGACAAAGACACATTGTGTAAACATAAAGCAGCCCACACAGTTCAAGAGCAGAACAGAAAGGAGAGAGACAGCCTCTGTAGAGACAGCCACACCTTTGAGTGGCAACAAGAGCTCGGTAGTGTTTAAAAACAGATGAATCAATGCAGGAAAGCATTCTCTCAACCTTTTCAGGGTTTTAAAAGCAAACGTAGTTTTTAAACCCCAATTTCTAGAATGATATGTGTTTATAGCGTCATTTAATGATTATGATGTGACAGTTAAATTATGATGGCATAAGTTTGTAGCAAAATAATATAATACATGTTGCCTTTTGAGTCATCTCATTAAGCTTTAAGAACTGAATAACATAAAATATATTTTAAACCACCTCACTCCATTCCTAAAACCTTTCAAAGTCTTAAGTTTGACATGACTGAGACATGTTTATGATTTTAAGAACTGCAGACCACCTCACTAATAAACTCTATGCTGTCACTTTAAACTTAGATTATTCCTGGCTAGACTATTGGTGTATGTGTGACACTAACATATACAGTATCTGCATTCACAACACACCTGCTCTGCATACGAGTGTGTGTGTGTGTGTGTGTGTGTGTGTGTGTGTCTCACCTGCATATTCTGGGTAGCAGATTGTGAGAGGGCTCTTTTTGATCTTTTCCTCAAACAGGTCTTTCTTGTTGAGGAAGAGGATGATGGAGGTGTCTGTGAACCACTTGTTGTTGCAGATGGAGTCGAACAACTTCATACTCTCATGCATTCGGTTCTGTAAGAGGGGAAAGAGGCACAATGGTTACCGACCAGGGAAACGGCACAAACTGAATTTAGAACAGGACAGTCAAATGTATTAGGGTGTGTAGAGGTCAGAAGGGTCTCACCATCTCCTCATCCTCAGCCAGCACCAGGTCATAGTCGCTCAGAGCCACGCAGAAGATGATGGCGGTGACTCCCTCAAAACAATGGATCCACTTCTTCCTCTCAGATCTCTGTCCGCCCACATCGAACATCCTGCAGAGATCACAGATGTTGAACAAGATCCCTCATCTCTGACTCTTCAGCCTTCAGTCATTGAAAGTAAACCTAGCTTCCCATTTAGTCCTGGGGTATAATTTTCACTTTCATTATCAAATTACACAATTGTAAACCCCATATGACAACAACAAAATGATATCTCAGTCTTTGCTTTTTTTAAGGCCTTTCACCTGGATCTTTTTCACTCCTTGTCTTGATATCTGTTTTTCTTGCTCGTTTTGTTTTAATACAAAAAAATACAAATTCCCTTGTTTAATAGTTAAAACCAGTCTTAACATCTGACTGAAGTGAAATTCTGCGAGCCATTATGTTGGTGGATTTCTGTATGTGGGAGTGTTTGTTGTTTTGTGTTTGCTGGGGGCGGTTAATGTTTTTTACCCTGTTAGTCAATTTAGTGTTTTGTACAAGGACTAAAAATACAGCTGTGTCTATTTGAAATCTATATTTTTCTGATGTTATTTTTCAGTACTGTTGAAATTGAGTTGTGCAGGAACTTGAAGTCTTCATCCTTAGTCCTTCCTACTTAACTCTAATAGGTCAAATAATTCTCCAACCATGGAAACAGCCATCAATGAGAACAACAGACCTTTTTGAATCACTAAAGTCTGGGAGTCAGATCAGGAACCAGACTAGAAGTGAGCATCACTAGTCATCATGTTCATAGAGTTTAATGGCTGGACAAACTGTGGAGTTTGAACTCACTTGAAGTGCAGGTCCTTGAAAGTGAAGTGTGTTTCCACAATACCAGTAGTTTTGACTCTGGTCCGCAGCACATCCTGTTGGGTGGGCACATACGCACCGTGGGATATCCTGTCCAAGTCATTCAGGTAGCTTTTGGGGGAGAAAAAGGAAATAAAAAATAAAAATAAACAGATTTTTGAAGAGTTGAGAATGGGAGATATTCTGCTAATTACAGTCCCACACTACTTCCTGTGTGTCCGAGCAGCGACTCACTATGCAGCGGAGTCGTTGAGCTGGTACTCTCGGGAGCGGCTGAAGCACGCATGCACTCCTCCGTCCTTCCACAGCCGCTGGATGACCCCGGCCAGCTCGCCCGTCATGAAGCCCTCCTCTGCAGAGCCGGCCAGGACGAACAGCTGCCGCGCATCATCCTAACGAGACAAAGACCCTCCAATATAAGTCGTGACCAAATATTTATTCACAAACATGCAAGACACCTTTGCTAGGATAGTGTTTTCAGTGCATTTTAAAAGAAAAATCATTTGGGAGCGTGGTGTAGATTTGGGTTGATGGTATATTATTCCTAAATGATGTAATTTTAATGAATTATTAAAATCACAGTAGGAGTTATTTACTGCCGACAAACATGACTGGAAGTGGGGAAATAAAAATGACAGATGTGTTGACTTTTCCTGTATTTGTTACCATGACACTTTCAAAAATTTCAAAGGCCAAATAGCATCATAAACAAGAAAGTCGGCAAAAATATTAAGATTTATAACAGCATAAAATCAAGAAAGTAAAGCTTTTGGTGTAAAATTAGTCACGATGACAGAACCAGGGCAGTCACGCTGGAGCAATGACTAAGCCTCTTGTTATGCCAAGAAAGAAAAAAAACAATGTACAAAATGAAACGGTAGCCTGTTTAGCAAAACGAATAAATTAAATACCCAGCAGTCTTTGCCCTGTTTATTTTTAGGCATTGCAATTATATACTTCACTAATACAAAACACTAAACCCTAGAGCACAAAGTCTCCAAAATTCAACAAAAAAAGAAACGCTGCTGATTATTTCTGTGAAGTCCTGTGATGTAAAGCCAGGAAGAACTCCAGTCCAAGAACCGGTACTTCAAAATGTCCTCATCACAGCAGAGCCAACAGAGTGCTCTCATGTCGGTGAGCCCCTGCTCTAATGAGGTGTTTGAATGTGATACTAAACTTCTACCAGCTCTACCTGACCTGCTGCAGAGGAGGAAGTGAGAAGAAAATTGCCCAGAAGGGAAGCACGACATATGACTAACAGGTTGTTGCTCTCATAGCACTGAGCTATACATCTGCAGACATACAACTCGTAATGTCACGAGAAAAGTGGAAGTGGCAGATTTTTTCTTCTCCTTTTCTCACCGCTCTGGCTGGATCAGCAAAGTCGATCTTGAGGCGTCCCATAGCTCTGATGATGGCGATGATGGACTGGATGGTGTTGCTGTAGACAACGGCCTTGTACTGCTTACACTCCTCCTCTGAGTAGCCCGCCTCATGGATGATCCTGGCACACAAAGATGGGACATCAGCACTTTGTATCCAAGAAGCTTTTTCATTAATATGACCATGAAATAAATTATTATGATCGCCGGGCCAAAATATGGATTCTGTTTTTCCTTGTGAACAGGTTGTTGTGTTACCATTGTATTCCTTTCACATACATTATGTAGGAGAAATTATGAAAATTCAAGTACATTTTATATTGTAGTTACATTGTAAAACAGATCTATTTACTAGGGTTATCAAATATGCATTAAAATATACATTCACATTATGACAAGTAATTCAAAACTAAAATAAAGAATACAGAAAAAATATCCATGGATACCCAGGAGAACCCGTCAAGGTATGATATGCACAAGTCAAAATACTACATTTCCGATGATTACAAATCGTGCACAACCTCCATTTAAACCCCCCCCTCTCTCATTCCCTCCACTCTGTCTATCTGAATTAAATTAAACTTATGAGGTATGAAAATAAGTCTAAAGATTATTTTAAGATTTTAGCTATCTTTGAAAAGATCATTTGTTTCATTATTGACCATTTCAAATAGCATTTAACAATGAAGGAGAAATATCTGCAGCATTTCATATTTATTCTTTATCTGTTCTCTATATCTGGATTCAGACTGTATTTCATTGTTTTTAAAAGTCACACTCTGAGTCCTGTTCAAACACTTAATTACTAATTAATTATACCTAGAAGGATTAAAATGATCTACCTATTGATCCAATAAAGAAGCTTTTGGTTGATTTATTAAAGGAATTTTGACGTGTAACAACTATGATTGGTGTATGAAAATGTTAAATGTGATTCAGCCGCCTCACTATGCATTGCACGGTGGTCTCAGACTCATGAGGAGACACTTCAGGTATTTGATCAGAGTATTGTGGAGTACATGGATAAAGGGCACACACCTAGCATCAAAACCGGATTCTTTAGGTTGCCTTTAATCTAAGTGCTCTAGTATATTTTAAACCAAGTATCTGAAGTCCCTTTTAGCTATTATTGTTGTGGTGTTAAAATGTTGACCCTCCACACTTACTTCATCTGTTTCACAATTGTACTTTTCCCAGACTCTCCAGCACCTGAAACAGAGAACACATGGCATAACAAATTAAAATATATTCCATACAATGTTAATTTTTTCAGAATAGCTCGCACAATACTCCCTTAAAGTGAATTGCTGACAATGCTTATAAAAAAAAACCACTACATGCATACAGCTTTTTTTCTGCTAAAATAACTATTGCTCTGTCATAGTTGGATTTTTCTGTGTGGTATCAAAACTCTTGTAGGGATCATTCTGCTTTAAGTTTATGTTGTTTGACAAGGCCTCTCCTGTCGCACTGTGACCAAACATGTCTACACTTAAAAACTAATTACAGCATTGAATGAATAGGGGTGGGGGAAGCATTGATTAATATAAGAATCATTATCTTATTAGTTTCTGAATTGAAATCCAAAAACATGCGTTTTAACATCAAGTTGCAACACAGCAGAAGCTACACTGTCACATACGGCACTGAAGTGTGTAAGGCCAGTTTAACAGATCACAGTAATTGGATTAATCAAGTGGATCCTCTGCCAATAAGATTAAACCGTTTAAACCACCCTAGGTTTGAAATCCTTGCGGCATCAGACTCTGCTGGACTCCGAGCCTTCTGGTGCATCTCATATGGAGCATATGATTGAAATGAGACCTATAATGGTCATTAAACAACTTAAATATGATGTCAGCTTCATACAGCTTTAGAAAGGTTCAATTTAAGATAAACAAGAATCTTGACAATGGTGCAAATCTGTGATCCATTTGAAAAGGTTTGAGGATCGTTTCGTTGAGTCTCTCCTGCAGCTTCCTCTGAGATACAGGCATGTTTTCAGCTGAGCACACAACATTTTAATTACCTTTCCTCTGCAGGGACTCTCAGCTCCCCAGTGAGGAGAACTGTTCACCAGTTACCTTGTCCCATATGATAAACATTCACTAAACACATACACAGAGCTAATATTTTTGTAAATATCATAAAATGTAATTTCAAACAACTGTCTCATACCTCAATGAGCTGCTTATAGTAAGGGCTTGCATCAATGCAATTCATGGAAAAAGTAAAATGGTTTGTCAGAGCTAGGATGTTTGATAGATCTACATGGGAGCAGGGCTCACACATTGCCATCAGGCCTCAGGACACAAAAGGTCTCCCCAGCGAACAACAACCACTGGGATGTTCCTCTGAGCTGCTTCTGTAAATGAAAATGCCTCTACAAGCACACAAAAATCAATCTTCATCATTTGCATTTGTATGTGTGCAGTGTGCATCAATACACATCTGAGGCTGTCCTCCCACTAAAAGCACTTGTCTCAAGAGCATGTCATTTGCAGATTAGTGCATTAACGCAAACACCCCCGTAGGGAGGCCTGACACTAGCGTCAGACTGCAATAAGCACACAGGTAAAGCTGGATATCTCTCCATCGTAATGAGAACCGCATAAAATGCATCTCATAAATGTTAAACAAATGTGTTTTCAATGGTAATTGCCCTTTTAGACAACAAATCCACAAACCAATCCCAGACATGTCATGCAGGTGCTTGTGGTAATCGTGACAGGGAAAAAACAAACCATGAACATTCAAATCAGGTGCATCTCTAATGACGCACAAACACACAGGAACCGACTGCTGCGGCTGATCATTGTACAGCGTCTGTGATTGTGGGGAAATCACATGCCTGAAAACACACACATTTATCTGTGCAGGGATTAAAAAGATGCAGAATACTGTTGCATTGTCAACACAGCATGGTCAAGGCTAACATCCAGTTAGCATCCACTATCTGTCTCTGTAGTGTGTATATAGTTGCCACAGATGGTTATTGCTGTCAGACAGGCTGCATAGGTTGCTATGCAACCTCTTGTCCGTCTTTTCCTGACTGAGTGAGCCAGCAGTCGTCATAAGCTTCCCGTAACAGGAAAAACTGAGGGATAGTGTGGCCGTTCTCCTTGAAACAATTGAAGATAAAACTGTGAGATGTAATTCCGATAAAGGGATGTGATCCTCTATAAGATGAGTCATTGTCTTATCATTAATGCCTCTGTTACAGTTACAGAGATAGGATTTCTTGACATATTTGCCTGTTCCATCTGATTGAAATAGGAGTGCAAGTCCCTGTCTAATTGACCAGCATATTCAAATGACCACACTAATGTTTATCACTTAAACACCGTATCCGCTTAACTAAATGGAGTATACAATTAAGAATGAAGTCAAATATGTCAAGATATCATCAAATTATAAATTAAAGGTTATGCTTGATATGAAACATTTCCAGGCCTTCCTTCCACGTCTGAAGTTAACAGCAACATGTAAACTAGTTGAGCAGCATAGATGACAATGTCCTACAAAGCCACCACTAAATCAATACATTTTCCCATAAATACAAACTTTTACGATGCACAGTCGGACATTTAGTAATAATCTTTTAAAAAACGGGCTAATTTCATACAGTTTCGCAGTCTGTAGCATAGAGTCTAACGGCCTAAAGTAACGTTAGTGTTTATGTGTTGAATGGCTGCGAAACAGGAAGATGGCTAGCTACTGTAGTTTAAATTGTAAAATAATGAAGTCGATATTTAACACTAACTACACCATTATATACATTTTTGGACGGACAGTTGAAAAGATAAAACCTCAAATAATGTTATAGGTTTAGCTTTCTATGGCTAACTAATCCGAACTAGCGTCAGTGCGCTAACCTAGCTAAGTGGCTAATTGCTTAGCTAAATTAGCTAACAGACTTAGGGCTGGGTTATTACGGCTGCTGTGGAGACAAAACTAATCACACTGTAAACCGATGAACACTTTAACGACTGAGCTGATTTAATTAGTTGAAGGGGAAGATAAAAGCGCAGATTTGCTTGAACTTTTTAGCCAAATGCATCGCCACGGGGCCATTCATATCGCCCCGACATGTCTCAAACTCCACCACTTGTTAGTTTCTTTAAGGGGAACCCCGTCATATTATTTTACTTGCTAGATGTAACTTATTTTAGCTTAAATAAAACACGTGCTTTTATATGCAACAGTTTGCGTTAAGTTAGGGTTAGGGTAGTAGCAGACGGTGGGCAGTAGGAAAGTCCCTCTCCAGCATTTAGACTGAGACCCCGTCCATCCATCTTTCTCTCACCGAGCAGCAGCAGCTTCACCTCCCGGGCTGCCTTCTCTCCGTCGTCCCGCAGATTGCGGTCGATCATCTTGCTCCGCTCCTGCGCCGCCTTGTCGTCCGTGCTCAGAGTACATCCCATCTTCTTTTTTAGTTGACCTCCGAATAAATAAATAAAATGCAGACTAAAACACAACTTTAACTACGAGTGTAACGACATGCAAAGGCTACCGAGCTAGCATCCAGTGAGGAGGGAGGAGGAGGGAGGAGGAGGCGGTGTGTGGCTCCAACACTTGAGAATCAAACACGCCCTTGCCTCGCTTTCAAAGCTCCACAACTCACGGCCAAAACGACTCAAATTTAAGTAATTAACCAAAACGAGTGGCTTAAGCGTTAGATGGATTTCCTGCTGGTGTAGTTTTAGCTTCTCAGAAGTGTGGAGCACGGCGGTCAGTGAGATTCACAGAAAGAAGAAGCAGACTGCTACAAACTGTTTGCTTCCTGTTCACACATACCTGTGAACTGCGCATGCGTTGCAGAGCAACAAGCTTTTTAAAATGTTTAAGCTACTTACTTTTTTGAGTCTGCTGTGAGTAGAAGTGGGAGAAGTACTATTGTGATATTGTGCTTGTCATAGCATTACCAGAGTGCAGGAATACTCTGTTACAAGGAAATGTCCTACATTCAAAATTATACTACAAGTAAAAGTACAAACATGTTAGCATCAAAATATACTTAAAGTACCAAAAGTAAGTTTGGTAGGCTACTTACTAGGCTAAAATACTCATTATGCAAATTGGCCCAATTCCGAATAATATATTATATGTTTTAATCATAATTATTTATGTTTTAATGTGTTTATCAAAGCTGGTAAAGATGCAACTAGTTTTAATGACTTTTTATACTGCAGGGTAGCTTGTGAATTTATTCTAGGTGTAACTAAAGTCTTATTTATATTTCACATTATTCATCCAAATCTGCAAAGAAATTAAAGGTATTAAATGTAGTGGAGTAAAAGTACACTCTTTACCTCTGAATTGTAGTGGTAAAAGTACAAAGTAGCAACAAATTGAAAAACTCAAGTAAAGTAAAAGTCTCCCAAAATTATACTTAAGTACAGTACTTGAGTAAATGTACTTAGTTACTTTACACCACTGGATACCATTTAATACAAGACAATACTAGAGAAACCAAGGAAGTTTGATCAGAATATAACAAATATGTATTTTTCAGATGTCATAAAAGAAAACAACACTTTAAGTAATTATATTGACAAACTTTGACTAAAATAATGGCAATTTCTTCAAAATATTAGTTATTAGGCCAAATTATTAACCCTAACTCTTAAGTAATTAATTTGAGATACCAACTCAATATTTCAAGAAAGTTTGTCATCATGCTGATTTACAGGATGTGTTTATCTTCTTATCAAAAGGCAACATTTATTGTTTATTTTTTACTGCTTGAAAAAACTGGCTTCTGTAAATATGTTTGTAAAGTCAAACATTTGAGATGATTGAAATACTGGAACATTTACATTTTCAAAAAATGACAAAATCGTGACTTTTCATAATTGGTTTAGTAGACTATACTATATTTGATTTCATTTTTCGAATTTTGACTTCCTTACAGAAAAGTCTGACCTACTATTTCATAATGTTAACTTTTATTTATTAAGTAAGCATTAATTTTATATTACATTTACATTTATTATAAATCTTGAATTAATAGCTCAAAACATAAATGCTTTATTGTAGAATGTCATCAATTTGACAATATACAAGTAACATTATTTATAACCTGCTTAGCCTTTTCATCTTCTCTTTCTCTGGTTTGGCTTCCATGGATATCTGTTATAAAGACCAGTTTTTATTATTATATCAGGTTTTACAAATAACAGTTCTACCATGTGTTATTGCTGTTCTGTTGAACATTTTGGGAGTGCAGACAACCAGGCGACACGACAAGCAAATCAGCTTCAATAACATTGTGCCACATGTTTGTTTTGTATGCGTGTGCAACCCATGAATAGGAGTGCGGAGATGAACATAATGCATACCTCATCCGTGCTGTCAGTGCTGATTTGCATCAAAAGCCTCTGTCATGAGATGCCAATGCTCCTTAGCATGTTTGCATGTGCAGCCCAGATATGTATTGCACAAACAGACACTTTGAGTGTTGAAAGCAAAAGCTATTCTTTAAACAGAATAAATGTGTGTGATTTACACAACACTTTGAAGTCTTTCTCACCTCTTCTCTGAGTTTTAATGAACATTTCATGAATATGTTGTATCATTATGTTAATACTGTACTTTAAATGTTTCTGTCATTCTAACTATAAGAATATGTTGAATTAAATACATATTGTTTTCTTCAGAACAGGGTATAAACAAACCACCCCCAAAATTGGTTCCATTAATAGTTTCTGTGCTGGGGAAGGTCTGCTGTCCTGCGCCTGTCAGGTGATGAAAGAACAAACAATGGTTACACCCTGTGGTTAGGCTTTCTCCATCACCACATCCAGAAATTCAAATGACCGGCAGATGATTGTGTGATTTAGTCCTAAAGCACCTTAAATCTCTACTGAAATATTTCAAGATATGAGAACTGCCCCACATAATGTGATTGTACATGAGAATGTTAAAATAATAAAACTATATATCCATTATGGTTATTTTAGGCATCTCACTTATCTCATTAGATCTCAATTATCTGAACTGACTGTATGATTATCCATAGTCACAAAAATGTTTGATTATTAAACTTGGAATATTACAAAGTTGATCTTGTAACGATCAGAATTAGTTTGACCTCCAATGAACCATCATATTCTCCATGGTTTTATGAATAAACAGCATGGCAAATGGTTTTGATGTGGTCAAAATTCATCTCCTCACTTTACATGTGATTTCCATTGCAGATGGCCTGCATCATGCAAACTAGCGCCATATTTCCCCCCGATCCGCTCTAAGTGAACATGGAAAGATTTTCCTGTGCATGGGCAACACTTGAGCAGGAGAGGCCACCAGGTCAACACAACAGAACCCTGATTCCAATAATCATCGTGAGGTTTTCGTTAAGAGGGGTTTGTATTAGTGTTGCCATGCCACGGCACCACCAAGCAACAGGAAATATTTTCACTCTTTCAAGAGACTCATGAGTGTGAGATGAATGGTGAAACGAAAGAGCAGCATGTCAGCAATATGAAGCTCGTTATGTTCCACAGAGATCCAGGCCTCCAAGTGGGACCTATTATCATGTACGTGCGTGTGTGTGCGTGTGTGTGTTATACAGGATGCTGAACAGATAGCTGCAAATCGTTTGTTTGCTATTGTTTAAACATCAGTCAATTAATTATTTGAGATTTTAATCATCACAGATAACTCTATATTTAAAAGATCAATTATTGACAGATACTCAGAGATGCCTAGTTTTTTTAACCTTTTTTAAAGGTCACCTTTTATGCAAAATCCACTTTTTCAAGTCTTTTATACATAAACATGTGTCCCCTCTGTGTAAAGAGATTCTGAAAGTTTCAGTTAAAAAGATTCGCTCACTTTTTGTCCTGATCAATTTATATAAAAACCTGTCTGAAAATGAGCTGATCAGATGTCGGCCACTTTATGATGTCATAACGATCTTTTAGCTTGTGTAACCATTAGCCAATAACCAACCAAGGTAACACCCCCCCCCCCCCCCCCCCCCCCCACCTTATCACCTGAATCTCCTCATAGAGCACCATTGTGTTCTTTTTAACCAAATATCTCTCAGAGGGGCGTGGGGAGTGGCTCCTTATTTTCATCTAAAGTAACAGACAGAGAATCAGCACTTTATAAACAGGGCTGAAACAGAGGGGATTATGGGATGCTACAATGCATGATCTGCTTGGTATTTGGAGCCAAACACTTCAGAGACATGTTTTGTACATATCTGAGACCTATAATATATTGATGAAAAACAGTATAATAGGGGACCTTTAAGCATTATAAAATATAAATAAATGAATAAACAGTACATTGTGTTGGTGATCATCTTTGGACCGCTTTAAAGTACCTCTTAAACTAATGTGTCTACCAGTTTGTGTACTTTCAAGGAAAATGTTACTTATATGATTTTCATTCATTTAGTGTTTTTGTTTTCTGTTACATATAATTCTGAAGTCAAGTTGTTTAAGGTATGTCTTATAACTATGCTGTCTAAATAGACTAAACATGTTTTACTTCAAAAGATCAATAATCAGAATTATTCAAGGATATAAAGACAGAATATTGACTCTGGTAACATCAGCTGTGTGTGAACACATAGAAATGTCTCAGGGGAGGTCAGAGTCACCCACCAGGAGTCAGCAACAAACGGAAAAGGATCAAGGAGGATATTCATCAAATATACTTGAAGCGATAGACCATCCTTTAAAAGAGACACAAACCTACCTCCCCCTTTATATTTATAATGATTAAGCCCCATCAGGTGACATAATGCCGACACAGACATCTCTATGACAACCGAGCAAACTTCATCAGCCGATGGAAAGAGATGCTATGAAAGCGTCAGAAAAGCCTAACCTCTCAGACTTTGTTAATAAAGAGATTAAATGGAAATACATTCTCAACCTGTTCTATTTATTTAGATTAGAGAGATTCTGACTTTATCATGCTTTATAGCCCTGAGACTATAGCCCCGTGCACTTATGTGATAAGGGACTTGAAGCATGATGGTTAGATCACTTCCAGTTTAAATATTTGGTTAAATAGTTACATTTTTTACATTCAATTCTAGTTTTCACGTTTAGCCAGTTGCAAGCGAATATTTGTGTTTGTTTTCCCTTTAGAATAACAAGGTGAATGACAAAGGCTTTGACAGTTGTCTGTTAAGAAGAGACTGCACATTTTGAAGAGAGAAGAGGACCATGTCAGTCCTCCAGGTGGCAGCAGAGTCATGAGGCAATCAATCAGAAACCCCACCAGTGGCTGAAGAAAGGATTTTTAATGGGACCTTAAAGTAAAAAGATGATTGCTTTTATATGTGTTCACATGTGATCTGATCAATGGTTATGTGACATTTGTCTATACATTAAATAATTCCGTATGAGCCCCTTAGAATGTGTGTCACTGGATCATCAGAAAGATCAAATGATTTAGTCCTTAAAGGGGTACTCAATTGATTTAGTACACATTAATTCAGTTTATTCATCAGTACTTGGACTGTGAGAACAGTTATATATGTATATCTTTTTCATAGAAGAGTATTTGTTTGACCACCTATAGTCGGAACCAAAAGTCAGGCTATTTTGGCTCTTTTAAGTACCCAAACGTAATGGAAATGCAATACTAAGTTGCTTGAGTAATTCTTTAACACAAACTGTTATCATAAGAGCAACATTTGTGGAGCTAAATGTGTTGATTAAAAACATGCTCAATAAAACACAGTGCCCTTTTACCATTATAAGTTAGTTTACTACCTGCTAAAACGTTATCTTTAAAACGTTTTTTTATTGTGTCTTCACTCTTCA